CATCATCACAAGGTTATACTGCTCTAGATCCTCATTACTTAGTTCTGTTGATTTGGATCATCATTACTAGGTTCTGCTGCTCTGGATCCTCATTACTCGGTTCTGCTGCTCTGGATAATCTTCACTTCACTTCCGGCGAGCTGAATTACGGCAGCTCCCTCCGGCTTCTCTGCATTTTTTTTAATCATCAAACTGACCCGTTTTTTTCGAACCGGACTAAAGTTGGTCCCCCTTCCAACCGAATTCGGTGTTCAGTGACTCAGAGAGCCGGTTGGGACCGTCCAAAAATATATTTTGGTCCAGGACCGGCCACTCCCACCCCACCGGTCACTCTGAGCGCACCCTGCCGGCCAGGTGACCCCTCGAGATGGGGAGTCGTTGCACGAAGGTCCGGTGTTTTTTCGCTCTCTCTCTCTGGACCTCAACAAACTCTTATCTGGACCTTTGTGGTTCTACCTGGTTCCGACAAAAGTCGCTGGGTGGTATTTTGCTGGTTTTCTGCTGGACTGGCCGTCGTGGTGTCTTCATAGGTGTGGGGGAAGTGTACCTGTGACCCTCGAATTGGACAATGCTCTGTATCATCATCACAAGGTTCTGCTGCTCTGGATCATCATTACTAGGTTCTGCTGCTCTGTATCATCATCACAAGGTTCTGCTCTTGTGGCTCATCATCACAAGGTTATACTGCTCTGGATCCTCATTTCTAGGTTCTGCGCATTTGGATCATAATTACTAGGTTCTGCTTCTCTGTATCCTCATTAATAGACTCTGTTGCTCTGGATCATCATCATCACAATGTTATGCTGCTCTGAATAATCATCACACGGTTCTGCTGATTTAGATAATCATTTCTAGGTTCTGTTGCTCTGGATTATAATGCCAATGTTGTTGTGCTCTGGATCATCATCACAATGTTCTGCTGCTCTGGATCATCATCACAAGCTTAGGCTATTCTGGATCATCACCACAATGTTATGCTGTTTTGTATCATCACAAGGTTCTGCATCATCACAAGATTCTGCTGCTTTGGATCATCCTTAATAGGCTCTGCTGCTCTGGATTATCACCATCATCATCATCATCACAATGTTCTGCTGCTCTTGATTATCATTGCTAGGTTCTGCTGCTCTGGATCATCAAGTCAATGTTCTTATGCTCTGGATCATCATCACAATGTTCTGCTACTCTGGATCATCATCACAATGTTATGCTGCTCTGTATCCTCATTATTAGGTTCTGCTGCTCTGGATCATCATTACTAGGTTCTGCTATTCTGTATCCTACTTACTATGATCTGCTGCTCTGGATCATCATCATCACAAGTTTGTGTTGCTCTGTATCCTCATTACTAGGTTATATTGCTCTGGATCAACATCAAAATGTTCTGCTGCTCTGGATAATCATAACCAAAAGGTTCTGCTGTTTTGGATCATCATCACAAGGTTCTGCTGTTTTTATCATCATCACAAGGTTCTGCTGCTCTTGATCATCATTACTATGTTCTGCTGCTCTGGATCGTCATCACAATGTTCTGCTACTCTGGATCATCAGCACAAGGTTATGTTGTGTTCTGTTAACAGTGTGGTTCTGTTAGCATTGTGTTTCTGTTAGCAGTGTGGTTATGTTAGCATTGTGTTTCTGTTAGCAGATTGGTTCTGTTAGAAGCATGGCTCTGTTAGCAGTTTGGCTCTGTTAGCAGCATGGTACAGTTAGTTGTGTGGTTCGGTTAGCAGTGTGTTACTGTTAGCAGTGTGTTTTTGTTAGCAGTGTGGTACTGTTAGCAGTGTGGTACTGTTAGCAGTGTGGTACTGTTAGCAGCGTTTTTCTGTTAGCAGGGTTTTACTGTTATCAGTGTGGTACTGTTAGTAGCATGGTACTGTTGGCTGTGTGATTCTGTTAGCAGAATGGTACTGTTAGCAGAATGGTACTGTTAGCAGTGTGGTACTGTTAGCAGTGTGATACTGTTAGCAGCATGGTACTGTTAGCAGTGTGGTACTGTTAGCAGTGTGATACTGTTAGCAGCGTGGTATTGTTAGCAGCGTTTTTCTGTTAGCAGGGTGTTACTGTTATCAGTGTGGTACTGTTAGTAGCATGGTACTGTTAGCTGTGTGATTCTGTTAGCAGCATGGTACTGTTAGCAGTGTGGTACTGTTATCAGTGTGATACTGTTAGCAGCATGGTACTTTTAGCAGCATGATACTGTTAGCAGTCAGGTACTGTTAACAGCATGGCACTGTTAGCAGTATGGTACTGTTAGCTGTGTGGTACTGTTAGCAGCATGGTATTGTTAGCTGTGAGTTCTGTTAGTGTGGTACTGTTAGCTGTGTGGTTCTGTTAGCCTTGTGGTTCTGTTAGCAGTGTGGTTCTGTTAGCAGTGTGGTACTGTTAGTCTTGTGGGTCTGTTAGTGTTGTTCTGTTAGCAGCATGGTACTGTTAGCTGTGTGGTTCTGTTAGCAGTGTGGTTCTGTTAGCAGCATGGTACTGTTAGCTGTGTGGTTCTGTTAGCAGTGTGGTATTGTTAGCAGCATGGTACTGTTAGCTGAGTGGTTTTGTTAGCAGCATGGTACTGTTACCTGTGTTGTTCTGTTGCAGTTAGTTTTCATTCATTCAACCTTTATTTCTACAAGTTAATCCCATTGAGCCTCGGGGAGTCATTTACAAGAGAGACCTGATTTCTTTAACAAAGAGTGGTGACAACAGTGAATGACGACAACAATAGACAGTCACAAAAGAGGCATACAAATGATTTTTTTTAACAAATCAAAACAAAATAGCCATCAAAAGGACAGTCAAAAGGAAAAGTATCGAGAAAAAACAAACAGCTAAATTGTAAGGCGGTTTAGAAAACTAAAAACAAGAACATGTTTGCATTGGTTCCTGTACTGTAAAGGCAGTGAGCTCTTCCTCCTCCGTTGATGCCATGACTGAAATTGTGAGAAATGAAGGAATTTGTCATGAGCAAATTAAACTCAGGTCCAACATGGCTGCGGGAGGGTCTGGAGATTTCCTGGTGGGCTGGTCTTATGTGTGGACTGTAGAGCCAGCGCTCTGTTTTTTTTTTTTTAGATCTTTTTATTAACAACATATAAACACAGAACACCACTGTGGCTGAGGCTGCCAGCGCTTGTTTTTTTTTTTTTCCCCGACCTGTCAATCAATCCAATGGGCGTGTCAGCAAATGACCAATCGACGACCTCAATTTGTCCCGAAGGTAAACGCCCCTTGTCTGTGAAGCTGCTCTGCAGCTGCTCAGGGTGGACGCTGGAGTCTGAAGTCTGAACCCTCTGCATACAGTACACGCGTACGGACGCGTGAACGGACATACGCGGCAGTATACGGGGGGCTTTACAGTTACTGAGTGTGCCAGAATTCCTCTGAAAACCTAAAGGTTCTGGTGTCCAACAGCTGATGCCTGGACAAAACAGCTGGACTAATCTACAACAGAACGGGTCAGAATGCACAGAATCAAGGTACTGCAACGGTCCAGTCAGAGTTCAGAATCTGAACCTGACTTAAGGACTGTGGAGGACCTTCAGAGCTGAGCAGAAACCTCAGTGTTGGAAAGAAGAGTGGGCCAAAACCCCTATAGAACCATGAGAGAGAGTGAGTCACAGAGGGTTCTGCTAGGTCAGGGGCTGGAACCAGGTTCTGTTTGTAAAAAAAAACTCGCTGAAACCTAGTGATATGAAGTTGGATCAAAATCTTAGAACATGGTGAAGACCCCTCAGAGTGGACATGTTTGTGTTCTGGTCCCTGTGGAGTAAACCTGTAGAGCGTTGTGATCCAGTTCTACCTGATGGCTCTGTGAAGCTCTTACATCAACACAACTGAGTGGGTCAGAACCGGACTTTTTGTTAGAAGAAAAACTTGACGTAAGTCGTTGAGGGACAGACAGAGACACCTGGCAGAGCCACATTCTCCTGTCAATCAGGATTATGTCTCATTCAGACACTGAACAAACTAGAAAACCTGCAGCACCTGACGGTTTGATCATCAAAATGGTTCTTGTGGTGGTACTGGAGATGGGAGCCTGGCTCATCTGGCTGTTTTCTCTTAGAGCTGCAACGTTCAGGTGTTTCTGACTCGCTCAAACTGATCCCACAGAACCCCACACAGCAACAAACATGGCAGCCATGTCCACTCAGTCCTCGTCTTCTGTCACTCATCAAGCATGAGAGCACAAGAATGAGGAGGAAACCAAAATGTGTGTGTGTATAGCACTTCTGCTTTCTTTCTCTTTAAAAACAAATCTGGGCATGAATGAAGCACGATCCATCTGTAAATGAAAGCATCGAACCAGAAGGAGCCCAGATTGACACCCACTGCACAAACACTTTGTCAGCTTCAGTCTCTGAAACGTCCAGAAGCTGCTGTGAAAACAAGTAAGCAGGTCAGAGATGAGACCTTTCAGTGTTCAGCAGGTTTCAGCAGGTCTGACCTGTTCCTGTCGCTCCACAAGTCTGGAGTCAGTCATCACAGCAGTGTAATGTTGGCATGCAGCGACACACACACGCACACGCACACGCACACACACACAGTAGTACTCACATAGGCGTCTGGAAAGGCTTTGTATTTGGACAGCAGACTCTGGTCTGATTCAGCACGCTTGTCCTGGAATGGGGACTCCAGCAGTTGGAACTGACCCCCCCCCTGCACACAGTTGAACTGGGGCCCTCCGTGCATGCTGCTGAACTGGGACACTGGTGAGCGTTCCTCGCAGCTGAGGCTCCTCTGCAGGGTCCTGGGCCCCTGGTTGAACATGGAGGATAAGGGGGGTTCAGAGATGGAGGCAGGCCGGTGCAGGTCTATGGATCCAGCGGGGCTAAGCAGGTGGGTCGGGCTTGTAATGGAAGGTGGGGGGCTGAAGCCAAGAGAAGGGGGCCGACTGATGCGGGAACTACAGGACTCTTCAGCACCGTTCAGTGATCCCGAGGAAGAGGAGTTCAGGAGGAAAGACAGGCGTTCCAGGCGGGACTGTGCTGGTTCTGGACTGGCTCCAACCTCACCTGGTTCTTTCAGTCTGACAATAGTGGGCTCAGCTGAGGATCCGATCTCTGGCAGTGAGCCGGAGCGGAACAGGGTCTTGTGGGTCGTTCCGTTCTCCAACGCCTTCTCTGACGAAGAGGAGCGGTAGCTGCTGAAGATGACGCTGCTGTTGAGGCGAGAGCCCGAGGTGGGGGACGAAGGATCCGGTCTGTTCAGCTTGGGGGAGGTCAGGTCCTGAGGAGAGTCACAGAGGAGTTTTGAAGAGGTTCTAACAGGTTTTCAAAAAACTAACAAAAAGCTGAAACAACATGTTCAAAGTCATCAGAGAAGTTCAACAGTTTGACTTTTTAACATAAAATAAGTCGAGTTTATTGAAATAACGTTACAATTCTGACATTTGTCTTCTCATCGAGGTTTGTATGTAATAATAATGTTTCTGAAGTAACAGTTGAACTTTAGTTTATGCTTTAACATGATTCTGGCTTGAATGCTCACATACAAACCAGAACCGAACTAGGACCAGAACTAGAACCCTGGAATAGAAATCTTGATTCTTTTGACAGCTGTCAATCATCCTCATGTCTGTTTTCTTTTATCTATTTGACCTTTTCCTCTAATCTGGTCTTAAATTCTGAGGAACTGACAATTTAAGGTTCTGCTGGAACTGACGGGACTCTGCAGGTTAACAGAACCACCTGATGGAGCTGAAGTCAGAGAAGGGTACCTGGTTTTTCTTCATCAGGTCCAGGGGGGACCGAGTGTCTCTGGGGCTGCTCCTCTTCAGGCCCAGCTCAGCTGGCAGTGTGTACAGTCCATTCTGTGCCTCCTCAGACCCCTTGGTGTGGCTGCTTGGGGGGGGGAGCACACTGATGATGACGGGGTTCGGTGCGTCCTCCACGATGGGGGGGAGGGAGGAGACAAGAACTGGAGGAGGCGGACGCAGGCTCGTGCTCTTCGGCCTCAGGGAGGGTCCCATGCTCCGCAGAGTGTCCACCAGGCTGTCCATGTCGTTATGGATTGGGGAATCTGCGTCAGGAGAGGATGGGGGAGTGGAAGGGGGAGGTGCAGGATCAGAAGTCAAGGGAGGCACAGGGTCAGAGTTCAAGTCCACCAGAGTGGCCTTAAAGACACCGGTAAAGCTAGAGGAGTCTGTGTTGTCCAAGTTGCTGCAGGAGAGATGCTGAGACTCCCACTGCGACTCTCCCTCAGTCTGTTCCTCCTCTTCTCCTGTACGAACAGCCAGCTGTACCTCCTCCACCAGACTCCGCCTCCACTCCTCTGCTCCACCATTCTGGATCAGGTGACCAGTGCTGTGACTCAGACTTCTACCTGGGGCAACAGAGGAGGAGCCCAGGTGTGTGTCTGCAGAGGAGGCGGAGTCAGAGGACAAAGAGATTTTCTGGGGTTTATACTGAGTTACCCCCACAAATCTGTTCTTCCACCTATACTCTGATCCCAGGTCAAATGATCCTGATCCCAGGCCAGAGGATCCTGATCCCAGGCCAGAGGATCCTGAACCCAGTTCAGAGGATCCTGATCCCAGGCCAGAGGATCCTGATCCCAGGCCAGAGGATCCTGAGCCCAGTTCAGAGGATCCTGAGCCCAGGTCAAGGCTGCTGTCGGCCTCTTTCAGCAGAGACACTTTGTGAAAACGAGCTCTGGGCTCTTCTTGGATGGCTGAAGACGAGCTCTTCAGTGTCAGTTTGGTGCTGCTGTAAGCTGAACTCATGGTGTCGGCAGGTTGGACCCAGGCTGCAGCTGAAGGAGGCCGGCAGCTGCAGAAACGCAAAGAAACCAGGACAAGGTGGTGAGAGAGCAGCAGGGAGGGGTCAACAAGAAACACAAGATTCTACAAGTGTGGATTACTGCGGCAGCTTCAGAGATGACAGCTTGGGCTGATTTCCATGCAGGCAGCAGGTGGACAGCAGCTAAAGTTAGAGTTGGCACTTCAGCCTGACACAACAAAATGTCTCTAATAAAACCTTGAGTTGAACAACTGTCAGAGTTTAACTTCTTACAACTTTATCCACATCAACACAATTAACACTTTTGTTGGGTTTAGGACAAAAGAAAAAGTTTTACCCAAAGTTCAGATGATAAGATGGAACTTTATTGATATCACAGGAAATTGTTGTGCCAGAGTTTCAGTATAAAGGAATATGCACAAGGAATCACACAAGATATAAAAAATAACATATAAAAAATAACATAAAAAATATCAGAGAATCTAAAAAATAACAGAATATAAAAATACCATCATTAAGGTCTAAAACAGGTCAGGTGCAGACAGACATTAAAGTGTTTATTGCAGTGCAGGATTCATTTTATTGTCCTACACGGGGAGGAGTTGAAAAGTTTGAAGGACTTCCTGTGCTGTTCTGTGGAGCACCTCAGTGGTCTCAGTCTATGACTGAAGGTGCTGCAGTAAATCAATTTTAATAAAAAAAATCTTTATTTATAGTTTTACCTGATTTGAAGTGATTCATTCAACCTTTTATCTGACAAGTTTAATCCCATCGAGCTTCGGGGACTCATTTACAAGAGAGACCTGAATTTTATCAAAGAGTGATGAAAACAGTGGACAACAATAGAGTGACCATACCCGTGCTATTAGACAGGAATGCAGGAGAAATTAGGGCAAGTGGAGAAAGGACAAACTCCGAGTCTCTCTTGATATACTGAGAGAGTTGTCATCCCTATAAACGAGCTGTGAAAACCGCCAGAGCAAAATATTTATCTGACATTACTGTTGCTAAAGCCCCCAGTATACTCCCGCATACGTCCACACGCGGAGGTACGCACGTACGTACGCAGAGGTACGAGCGTACCCCCCATGGCATGTCCATGCAAAGCTCAATTTTTATGACCGCGTACACATACGCGGTGTCGCACAATAAATTGCCCAGCGACGGACTGTTTTGTATGAGACACCAATGTATTAAATTCCCCTTCTTCATCCCTGATCTGGCCTTTTTTTTTTTTTTTTTTTGCCAAGAGGCAGTGATCTCTTCCTCCTCCGTTGATGCCATGACTGAAATGGTGAGAAATGAAGGAATTTGTCACAAGCAAATTAAACTCAGGTCCAGCGTTGCTGCGGTAGGGTCTGGAGATTTCCTGGTGGGCTGGTCTGATGTGTGGGCTGCAGTCAGTGCTCCCTGGGTTTTTTTTAAGATCTTTTTATTAACAACATATAAACACAGAACACCGCTGTGGCTGAGGCTGCCAGCGTGCGGTTTTTTTTGCCGACCTGTCAATCAATCCAGTAGGCGTGTCAGCAAATGACTGATCAGAGAACTCTGTCTCAAAGGTAAACGCCCCTTGTCTGTGAAGCTGCTCTGCAGCTGCTCAGGGTGTATGATCAAGTATGAAGGCTGAACCCTCTGCGTACAGTACACGTGGACATATGTACGCGTGGACATACGTACGCGTGGACATATGTACACGGGAGTATACTGGGGGCTTAACTCTCACAACCACCGTGTTCTTTATAATACAATCAACACTGTTCTTGAAGCATCCGGAGAACTTTGTGATAAGTTTCTTCATTTTTTCTTAGACAAAGTTATTAACACTAGGGCTTGTATCTCTTTTCCATCCCATGACCCTTCCATCCCGGTCCCCTGTCCTGCTGTTTTTGAGCATTTGGATCCTATTTCCCTCTCCTATCTGGAGAAACACTCATCTCCGGATTGGCGCAGTGGGTGGGCATCACTGGTTCAGCTCTTCAGTGGTTTAGGTCCTACATTTCTGATAGAAGTTTCAGTGTGATGATGGATAATTTTATCTGCTTCTGCTGCCCTCCCCAGGAGATACACCAGGGCTCTATTCTTGGTCCTCTCCGGTTCTCACTTTATCTTCTGCCACTGGGTTCTATTTTCAGAAAGCATGGTGTGCAATTTCATTTATATGCGGATGACTGTCCAGTCTACTTCCCTTTGAAACATAATGGATCCACTCAGTCTCTCCTGGACTGTCTTGATGACATAAGAGCAGTGGTTCCCAATGGGTGGTGCCCAACCCTCATGGGGGAGGGTGTGTGTGTTTGTGTGTGTGTGTGTGTGGGGCGCTAGAGAGAACGGGGGGGGGGGGGGGTCACATAATATGTCTGCTTAGAGATGTAAAAATGTCAATTTATTGTCTGTGTAACAAGTTTAGAAAATATTGTATTTTTAATTATAATGTTTGAGTTTTCACCAAATCCTAATTAACACTGAAGAACCCTCATTTTGCTTATGTTTGAAAAGTTTTCTATGATGTATTATGTTAAAAACTAAAATATGTACTGTCACTTTAAGAGCACTTTGTTATTTTTTCAATCAACCTTTATTTCTACAGGTTAATCCCATTGAGCCTCGAGGACTCATTTACAAGAGAGACCTGGTTTCAACAAAGAAAGATGACAACAATGGACAACAGCTACAACAATAGACAGTCATTAAAGAGGCATACAGATTTTCTTTTAAATTAAAATAAGATGGCAAAAAAGTAGCAAAAACAACTAGATTCTAAGGCGAATGTAGAAAAATAAAAACAGGAACATGTCTCCCTTGGTTCTTGCCAGGAGTCCAACAGATTCTTACAGCCACTTAAGGTCGAGAGCTTCATATCTTTTTGCACGACATTCCAGGAAACAGGAGCAGAGTAGGAGAAGGTCCTTTTGCCTAGTTCAGTCCTCATTGAGGGAACACTGCAGGTAATGATGTCCTGAAAGTGCACACTGTAGCTGCACTCACACAGAGACATGTAGGAGGAGATGTATGAAGGCAGCAGACCAAGAAGTGATTTAAAGATGAAAATGTACCAGTGGGAGAGTCTGTGTGAAGTTAATGGTGACCAGTTAACCAGTGAATACTGGGTGCAGTGGTGGGTATGGTAGTTACAGCCAGTTATGGATCTTAGGGCACCATGATAGACAGCATCCAACATCTGCAGCATCCAACATCTGCAGGGTTCTTGTAGGAGCGTTCATGTAAATAATGTCACCGTAATCAATGGAGGGAAGGAAAGTCACAGATACAAGGTGTTTCCTAACATTCAGGGTTAGACAGGATCTGTTTCTGAAAAAGAAACCCAGTTTAACTTTCAGTTTCTTTACCAAGTTTTCCACATGGAGCTTAAAAGAGAGATGTGAGTCGACCAAGATACACAAATATTTATAGGAATCAACAAAATCTACGGGGACACCATTTGAGGATGAAATCGGAGGAAGAACTGCTGGGACCAACTTCCTATTTGAAAAAAGCATCCATTTGTTTTTGTCGGCATTTAGGACAAGTTTGAGGCGGAACAAAAGCTGGAAATCCTTTTCAACCATTTTAGCTCGACAATAAACAACTGTGTCATCAGCATAGAAATGTATGGATGCATTAGGGATGTTTTTACCTACATTATTTATGTAGATTGTAAAGAGGGTGTGTCCTAAGACTGAGCCTTGTGGTACACCATTGTTGACTGTTAAATAACTGGAGGAAGTACCATTATGTTGAACACATTACCTCCAGTCTGAAAGATAGTTAGAGAACCAACCAATGGTGTGATCTGAGAAACCAGTTTCTGAGAGTTTATGACACAAGATGTTCTGATCCACAGTGTCAGAATCTTTAGACAGGTCTAAGAAAAGTGCAGCACAATAATCCTTAGCATCCAGAGCTTCAACAACGTCATTAAGAACCTTCAGTGAAGCAGTGGTTGTGCTGTGTTGTTTCCTGAAACCAGATTGATGTGGAGGTAAGATGTTAAATGAGTCCAGGTCATTTTTGATTTGAGAGTTTATCAGTTTTTCTAGAACCTTGGCTAAAATGCAGAGTTTAGAGATTGGTCCATAGTTGTTCAGTGAGGGGGGGTCTCCTCCCTTCAGCAAAGGAAGAACAAAGGCTGTTTTCAAGAGTCTGGATGGAGTTTTGTCTTATGGAGAGATTGAAGATGTGGGTCACAGGGACTGTGATGATATGAGCAGCCAGCCTTAAGAAATAAGGTGGAAGTTCATCTGGACCTGCAGATTTTTTAGGATCAAGATCTTTTAACAGTTTATTGACCTCACTGACTGAGAATGGAGAAAAAGAGAAGCTGTGATTAACTGAGGATTGACTTCTAGGAGGGATTTGATTTGTCCTCCAGCTCTAATGTTAAAAATCTTGGTGTTATTTTTGATCAGGACATGTCTTTTATAATAATAATAATAATAATAATAATAATAATAATAATGAATTTAATTTGTAACGCACTTTTCATTAACAAAAATCTCAAAGTGCTACAGAGTGCAACTAAAATCAATGATACAATCATGTGGAGGCAGAATAGGCTTGCTTAAAAAGAAAAGTCTTTAAGCCTTTTTTAAAGTCAGTCAATGATTGTGGAGCTCTCAGATATTCAGGGAGGGAGTTCCAGAGGCGGGGGGCAGCCACACAGAATGCCCGATCTCCCATGGTTCTTAATTTAGTTTATCCCCCACATTAAAAACGTTACTAGAACCTCCTTCTTCCATCTGCCTACCTACATTACCTACCTACATTAGAAACATCTGATCTAAAGATGATGCAGAAAAACTGCTCCATGCATTTGTCACGTCTAGACTGGACTATTGCAATGGTTTATTA